CCTCACCTCACCTCACCTCACCTCACCTCACCTCACCTCACCTCATAACTCCTGTTGCATATCCTGCTGCAGGAGACTGTAGCCTGCTTCCGTCTTAACCACGTATGATGCTTCAGACGCTCAGGCAGCTCTTAACCTCTTATCCTCTCTCCTGACTACATTGTTCACATTCATTGCAATATTCCAGCAATATCATGGCAGGGGACACCAGAAATGGGCTTCACACATTGTACCCATATGGAGAATCGAACCCGGGCCTTCGGCGTGACGAGCAAACGCTTTAACCACTGGGCTACCCCATGCAGCATGTGACATGTGTTTCCCGATAACATCAGTATAGGGCAAATGTAATTCTGTGAAACGGTCGTATAATAGAGAGATTTATTTAGCTATAGCTAATAACTAGAATTACAAGCTGCCTTCGAAAGATCAGTAGAAACTACACTCTGTCCATCGCTGATGTGAACTATACACTGTCATATGTGCCTTCTTGTGAATCGTATATATCAGTAATGCTGTTTTGTGAACACCTGGTGTCAACATCTGTTCCTGAACCTGTTCGTTGGAGGAAGGTATTGCTTCCATTACAATAATTGCATTCTTTAGGGTTAGACACTTTATACCTTCGCTATATTGTCACCCATCGTCAGTCCACCATTGTGTTAAACATCGTAAAAGAACCGTCAGGTGTGAGTGAGTGAGTTAAGATATTGAGTCACATCGGCAGTATTTCAGCTATATCGTGACTACAACAAATTATAAATATATTAACAATTTAAAGTAAATTATAAAATTCTGTCAACGAATGACTGTAAAACAGCTAGTTTATCACAAATATAAATTTAAAACTAGTACTTAAATCTAACATATTTTAACTATACACGACAATACAATATAAAACCAGGCTATATATCGCCAACAACTGAAGGTAGATTCACCATACTAGAGACCATGGGGACTTACAGTACATTTGCTTCCCGCATGGACCCTAGCTGCATTTACACCATCCCTTCAGCCGTTAGCAATTTAGCAAATCTAGCCATATATTAAAAGACAGGTATTCTACGATTACAAAAGTGGAACGTTTTAATTTACTTCGAATGTTTTGGGACTTACGTACCCTCTCAGGAGGACAATAATTTTACAGTACTTTAACCCCCTTTGAGGATACAGCCACTAACAATCTGAGTTACTAATTTAAACTTCCAATCATAAAATATTTATCTATTTACAAACCATTCAACAATTCTAATTCTAAAATGCAAGAACTAAATGAGAACTTATATTATTAAAAAGAACCTTCATAGTTCGTGATTTGAAATAGTTATCCCTTGTGAAGAACCGTCAGGAATGTTGTTTGAATATCACATGGTTCACGACAGCGGACTTTGAAAGAGTGTAAATAGAATTTAAGAATCAGAAAAAATCTCCAGTCGACACATACGTTGATATGGTATGGTGATGGTAACAGGTGTTTTCGAAACGATGAGCGCATCCTGTCATCTGTCAAAAACACACGCAACGGAACGTCAATTCTTCGTGGGACCTGAAAACTCGGGAGGAAATGCGAAATGACGAAATAGTAAAAATTACTATTTCCATCGGACATTATGCGTGACATTTGAAACTGTCATTAATGTTTCAAATAAGGCATTGAAGCATTCTAAAAAAGAAATTGAATAATAAAATGCAATGTTTCAGATTTGTTGCATCTCAGTTTGAGCATACCTTATCACAGGTGCCATAATGATGCCATACCATTCTAAGTACATATGCGTATCATATAATAAAATGTGCATGAAAACTAGGCATAAATCATTGTAGGCATAAATTATGTATGTGCCAATGTCACGTATTGTAACTGTGAAAAGAAATATAAAAGGTGAGTTTATAAAATTTCTAAAGGTAAATGGGATGATATTTAATACATGAATATTATCTTTACTTCAGTATTTACTCCTGACATATGCCTACTAGCTTATAGATATGTCACACCTATTGGTTTACAAATATCACGCATCTAATATATCATAAACCTGAGAAATGGAGATAAGGTGTCCGCAGTAAGGCCTCTGTATGAAAGCAACACCCATCCCCAGTGTTCATGTGTCATACGTCCAAGGGAAGAACCCGTGAAGATCCGGGATAGAATTGGTCTTCAGCAACTCATGTGCTTGCCATAAAGGCGACTATGCTTGTCGTAAGAGGCGACTAACGAGATCGGGTGGTCAGGCTCGTTGACTTGGTTGACATATGTCATCGGATCCCAATTGCGCAGATCGATGCTCATGCTGTTGATCACTGGATTGTCTGGTCCAGACTCGATTATTTACAGACCGCCGCCATATAGCTGGGATATTGCGGAGTGCGGCGTAAAACTAACCTCACTCACCCACTCACTCCAAGGCAGGGAATGGTGTTCTCACCACCAATCACTGGACATTGCAACGTACCAACAAACTGTCACGACACACATGAGTGAGTATTGTTTTACGCCGCTTTTAGCAGTATTCCAACAATATCACGGCGGGGGACACCAGAAATGGGCTTCTCACACTGTACCCATGTGAGGGATCGAACCCGGGTCTTCAGCGTGATGAGCGGACGCTTTAACCATGTGGCTACCCAAACGCCCCTCGACTTACATGAGGCAATATCGGAATCAATGGTATATGCTTTGGAAATGACCAACGGATAGTATATGGCCAAACTGGGAACTGTTCTGTTAGCTTTCATGTACAGCTGTTGTAATGTTTGATATGAAAATATGAGTTTATGACTTTACCTCAAACGTTTGATCATTTATTCTTTTGAAAATCCGAATGAAATCTATTCAGCTCCTTGCGCTGAACATGTGTTTCCAATTTATCTGTAATTACCTACACACTGGTGGAAATACGCTACGATAAATCTCATCATAAAACATGAATATGTCAAACACCGAAATAACACGGTATGTAGATTTCAGTTTCAAATCTTGTTAATTTCCTGACGCCGAAGTGTTTTTCGACTGGAAGAAAAGTACCCTCTTGCACGCATCCATATACAGAACCCTGAATAAAATCTGGTGTCGAATATCTCTGGAGATAGACCGTCCAAGTATAAGGCTCCTTTGTGAGACGTGGATCAATATCATATCATGAGGAGCTTAGGGCATTTTCATTTTAAGTGTATCCTTTTTAGTCTGATTTACGAAGTTAATCTCAATTTGCCTCTGGGATATTGTTGTAGACTTGTGCAACATGAAATATGGTCTCCCATCCACACTGTGCTGCATCTGGACATCATGCCAATCTCATGCAATCACAAAATAAAATGAGTGTATGTGAAACACTGAGCAGTACCCAACAACTACATCGTAATATCGTCACAGTAGTTAAAAGACACAACAAAGAAGATCTTTGAATTGAGTTTTTAAAGTATACAGAACTATTAGTAAAATCTGGCTCAGTTGACTGGTGACATTTACCAATGTTGTCTTGGCACCACAGAGACTGTTGTGAACTATCGATGTGGAAAATGCACAAGTCAAACCTAAGTTTCTATCTCTGGGGAGATTGTAATATTCTGTTTGAGAAAATTGCTGCAAAGTTAGCGCTTGAAGAATTACAATTATTCTCCCCTGAAATGAGGATGTAAATATTTGGGGACCCAGGACCCAGGACCCATAATATCTGAAACCATCTTCAGTAAACAGTTCCTACAGTCCTACAGTTTGTTTTAGAAACTGTAAAGATGACTTCCTTCTCCATATTTGTATTCTCTACCACTGACATATCCAATCCTGCGCCACTAGAGTATTGTCTATCCCTTCAACAACGGAGTCAGTACAGTATTATAGATTTCGTATGAAGTGAATTAAGGACAGAATGGAACAACTGTCATTCTTTGATCCCCATTAAGGCCGTCAGCGACATTTTCTGTGCTAAGTAAGCAGAAGTGGTGTCACAAGGGATTTGTATTCCTCAGAACAGTTTGGAGAAGAATTTCTAAAGAGTGTGTGTTGGGTGTGAAACGGCACACATCAACATTACAACTACCGGAAGTTGGCCTAAGTAGTTAAGTCAAACCTCGAGCAGCGTCAGTTACTCAGTCATGGAGCCTGCCCGCCCATCCATAAAAGTGACTTTTTCCGAAAGCATCTCCTGACCTGATATCACCACACGTTAATTTCTAAACAAGAACTATGTTTCTGTCTTAAACTTTAGTAGACCCCGTCTATCACATCCAAGACCTGGATAGTTGATTGATTATGTTCCGTCCGTCGAGTATGTCTTAACACCGTCCGTTTAGTCAATCTGCTGTAGTTCAAGCAGAGCGAGCCAGATGTCTTCATCATGCTTCAGCGAAGAAAACACTACCGACACCATCGCTTCAGTAATTCCTTATTCAGGGCGAGTAGACACATTGTATTAGCGTGCTTGCATCTGTTGGAAGACACCAGTATTTCTTGAGTGATTACCCCTTAAACTAGTCCCTACAATGGTGCAGTAAATAATCCCAGGTGAGCTTCTGACACCAGGCACTAGGGAGTTAAAATCAGAACGGTGACGTGTCATTACAACACTATCAATATATGTACTATAGTCATTGAACCGTCACGATACACACAACTCTATATTAGCTCAGTGCTGTATAAAGTGTCAGAGATCATAGCAACGTCTCCATCCACTGATATTCACGTGTCTTTTCTGATAGAAATGACTTTATTACACCTTCAAACGTCAACTTGAAATCTTTTGTTTAAGCTCTTTGACTTTTCATCTGTATCATCGTTTTCATCTCCCTCCTCCTCGTCATTATTATTGTCATTATTATTGCCATTATATAGAAGACAAAATGCAGCAAAGAAGGGTTGCAAAATTGCAAATAAAAATAGAAACATTCTAATATGACCTTTTATTCTAATGCGTAAATGAGTCTTGCATGTTCAGGAGTAAAGTAAAATCGATACAGAAACTCATTTAGTTGACATTGATATGACATTTCTCACTGTCGGACTGGGCTGATACTGAGCTGTGAGTGTGGATAACTTCACATAAACTTTTCACAATACCTGGATTCCGTGATGTTGCTGTCTTTTAAAAGGGGTTTATGTCCCAGTAGCAGAAGCTTACACCATTTATTGCGATATATGAACAATATATAATGTATTTTTGTGGAATTGAAAACATTAAAGCAGGTCTGCATGAGTTTACATAAGAACATATATACATCTGTTGACAACCACACACACCTGTGATTCTTATCATCTCATACAGATGCAATCATTTAATTGAGAATGTTATTTTAGCTACGTCCATTCAAATAATACCATGTTAATAAATAATTTAGTTTTTGATTCAATATACTGTTATAGACATGTGTCTAAAGTATGTCTGGTTCACTGATATCAGTATTATGTACAATATATTCACCAACCAGATCACTGTATTGTCGTTGCTTCACTCGATACGTCATCTCATGGCGTTGGGTGTCTCTGAGATGCATCATTGACCTAATGGACCCATTTTGACTGATCTGACCAAGGTGTCATCGTCTGCAATTCAGTTAGCTGACACTGATATGAGTCTATGACATTTCTCACTGTAGTATGGACTGATACTGAGTTGGGAGTGTGGATAACTTCACATGATTTTTTCCATTATACCTGGATTCTGTGGTCGTTTAAAAAGGGTTACATTAAATGTCCGAGTAGCACAAGCAACTGATTATAATGAGTATAGTTCTAAAGTTACGTGGGTACAATGTGTGAAGCCCATTTCTGGTGTCCCCCGCCGTGATGTTGCTGGAATATTGCTAACAGCGGCGTAAAACCAAACTCAGTCAGTCAGTCTAAAGTAACGGCAAACGAAGACAAGAAATCTTTGTAGAACTCGCATGTATGGTTGATCGAGTAGGCATTATCAGCATGGCGTCTTTCCTGACTGACAAAACATAAACATGAAAGACATTGAAAGATTTCTATTTTTTGGACTGGAACATCCTGGTTTACCTTAGTGATAACCTTAACAATGTCAGAAATTACGCAACTGTATCGTTTTTAATACTGAACAAGTGTAATTCTGATTGGTCAGTTGACATTGAAAACCGGAAGTGACAAAGGCCATAGTCGATCACCACTTAGAAGACGCCAACGACCACGGCTGTAGTGTTGACACCAGGAATTGTAACCGAGAGAGTGATAATCGTTCATCGTGCACAGTTGCGTCCCTTTGACGTGCCTACAACTTGGAAGCCTATGGTCATAGGTACGATAAAAGATTTACTCTGATTATATTTTTAAGTGTGACAGCACCACACACCGACGAGGTTGTAGCGTATTCATAAGGCGAAACCAGTTGCTCGTTTATCCAGACAGTGTTGCTCATATTAACGAGTGTGTGGATGTAACCATGCCGGAAGTTGTGGAGGTGTCACAGAGGTAGAGACATGCACTTCTATCTTTCCTTCCACATCTAGCTGAGATGGTAGGGTAGCCTAGTGGTTAAAACGTTCACTCATCACGCCGAAGACCCGGGTTCGATTTCCACATGGCCACAATGTGTGAAGCCCATTTCTGGTGTCTGGCATCAAATTAAACTCACTCACTCACTCCACATCAAGCCGCTTCAAAGCGGTATGAGTGGAGTAGCGGTTAATTTCGGCGTTCAACCTCAACTCACTCACTCATGGTTTTGTTAATGGTTGCTACTTGATCTTGTAAAATCCGGTTCAATGACATCACTGCTGGTTTATCGGAGTCATGTTCTTGGAGCATGGCATTTGACATGTTTGCAGTTGAAGTATCGTAGACTGACATTAATCATCCAACACTCAGATAACCTCAGTGTATCGTTTCGTGGAATATTTCAAAGAAAATTCCAACATTTTGGAACCAGTCGCAGGAAACTTTCCTTTCATGTTAGCTGTGATCAGTCAAAATGGGTTCATTAGGTCAATGATGCATTTCGGAGACACCCAACGCCACGAGGTGATGTACTGAGTGAGTTAACGACAATACAATGATCTGGTTGGTGAATATATTGTACATTTTCCCAGTCAAAGGGCTCGCCGCTTCGCTGACATTATAGTATCATTAACTCTGGATGATCTGATAAATCCTGGTTACTTCTAAAATGGCATGTGGTACATTTGTTACTTGTACGAGAAATGTTTAATCACCTTTATCTTGGGATCACGGCAGTTGTGAAGGATTTTAAATTACACTTGAACTGAACCATGTTTCACTTACCGTGACGGAACCTTTTATTTTGATGGGTATTGATTTGTATCCAAAGCATAATGAAAAATGTCTCTGTGGGCGTATGATGTATTGACTTCCTTCCAGACGACCAGTTGAACATGGATATCAGACATTTATAGTATACTGACTGCCAAGCGACCAGTGCTTTTTCTACTACTACTACTACTACTACTACTACTACTACTACTACTACTACTACTACTACTACTACTTTCTACTACTACTACTACTACTCTTCTTACTACTACTACTACTACTACTACTACTACTACTACACTACTCACTACTACTGCTACTACTACTACTGCTGCTTCTACTACTACTACTGCTACTCTTCTACTACTACTACTGCTGCTGCTACTACTACTACTACTACATACTACTACTTTCTACTACTACTGCTTGCCTACCTACTACTGCTACTACTTCTTTACTACTACTACTACTGCTGCTACTACTGCTACTACTACTACTACTGCTACTACTGCTACTACTGCTACTACTACTACTACTACTGCTTCACTACTGCTACTGCCACTATCTACTACTAGTTGTCCTGCTGCTACTACTACTACACTGCTCCAACTGCTGCTACTACTGCTGCTGCCTACTACTACTACTGAGTACTGCTGCTCTTCCTACTACTTGTCTGCTACTGCTCCACTGCTACTATTTGTCCTCTGCTCCAACTGCTACTGCTCCTACTGCTTCTGCTATTTCTAATACTACTACTACTACTACTCCTTTTACTACTCCTACTACTACTACTACTACTACTACTACTCCCTATCACTGAAATATCCGATCGTGAGTATCCACATGAGTATTGTCGATCTTTAATCCTCTTCAACAATCCGGGCATTATTATATATTTCGTATGAGGTGAATTAGGTACAGTTTGTTACAACTGTTCTACATTGATCCCCATTATGGCCGCCGCCGACATCTGTGCTGAGTAAACAGAGGAGGCGTCACATGGGATTTGTATTCCTCTGAACAATTTGGACAAGAACTTCTATCGAGTGTGTGTGTTGGGTGTGAAACGACATACTCAACATTACAACTACAGGAAGTTACCAAGTAGTTAAGCCAAAAATCGAGTAGCTACCCTTGCTACTATTTCTACTACTACTATTACTACTGCAGCTTCTACTACTATTACGGCTACGACTATATCTACTACTACTACTACCACTACATCTACTACTACTATTACTACTACTGCTTGTACTACTAATACTGCTCTTGCAGCTACCACGACTGTTCCGGCATTCGTCCCGATGTAGCCATTATCTGTCATCCGGGCATCCCTTCTGTCATTGTATAGACTAGTCAGGAAAGAAATGTGTTACATGCACGGAGGTCACAGTGATTCCTATCAAAACGATTTATGCTTCTATAAAGGTCCAGACGGAAATCAGTTTGAGCGTCTCATTGTATTTCAGTGTCCATAAACCAGTCCTTGAAACTGCTCCATCGCCAAAGGTTGGACATTTTGGCAGGAGAGAGGACCTTCTTTGTGAGCAAGAGGATGGAGTGTCATTTGTACAGATCTAATGGCATGTTATGGGCGTGATGATGAAATGAAATGTTCACATCTACATCTTTGTTCCTTTCATCTGCTCTTACATCTCTATTTCAACAAAACAGAAGCACAGAGGATGAAGTCTCCGATGAAAATACAGAAAATACATGGACACCCCGTTAACTCGAACAACTTTAACTCGAAGATCGTTATATTTTTATTTAACAGAAGTCAATGTTTCTTTGTACAGCCCTTACATTATTGTTATTAGCAGTGTGATTTGACATCACTTTGTTCGAAACACACTTTAGATGTAAAGCATAACCCACTTTATGTGCATCCAAGTGGGTGAGTGATGGAGTGACGGAGAGAGGGAGGAAGTAAATGGGAGGGTGACGAGGGAGTAATGGAGTGAGTGAGTGACTCCCGGCAGTAACGAGTAGGGCACGTTATGAGAGAGACGTAGAAAACCGTCTCATCTTCACATACTACTACTACTACTACTACTACTACTACTACTACTACTACTACTACTACTACTACTACTACTACTACTACTACTACTACTACTACTACTACTACTACTACTACTACTACTACTACTACTACTACTACTACTACTACTACTACTACTACTACTACTACTACTACTACTACTACTACTACTACTACTACTACTACTACTACTACTACTACTACTACTACTACTACTACTACTACTACTACTACTACTACTACTACTACTACTACTACTACTACTACTACTACTACTACTACTACTACTACTACTACTACTACTACTACTACTACTACTACTACTACTACTACTACTACTACTACTACTACTACTACTACTACTACTACTACTACTACTACTACTACTACTACTACTACTACTACTACTACTACTACTACTACTACTACTACTACTACTACTACTACTACTACTACTACTACTACTACTACTACTACTACTACTACTACTACTACTACTACTACTACTACTACTACTACTACTACTACTACTACTACTACTACTACTACTACTACTACTACTACTACTACTACTACTACTACTACTACTACTACTACTACTACTACTACTACTACTACTACTACTACTACTACTACTACTACTACTACTACTACTACTACTACTACTACTACTACTACTACTACTACTACTACTACTACTACTACTACTACTACTACTACTACTACTACTACTACTACTACTACT